AATTGTAAAACAAAAATCCTTTCGAGTTTTGAAATATCCAGGTTGGCTACTTACTTTCTTGGGCTTTTACCCAATATTAATACAAAAAATACTGAAGCAGTTTTTGGGGAGAAGTGCTAGTGTGAGGGTGACTGTCTTAGACATGCCTGGCAGGAGAGAAATGCTGAAAATAGAGGCAGATGTCTTGCTCATCACAGCCAAATTGCCCACAACTTAAAGTAGCATTGACAGTTGTTGGAAATTTTAAGTAGGTACATACTTTTAAATGGAGTCCTGGGTCATGCAAATAGGTAATGCACTTGGCTACTAACCAAAAGGTTGGAGGTTCGAGTTCACCCAGAGGTACCTTGAAAGAAAGGCTTGGCGATCTACTTCTGGAGAAACTCAGCCATTGAAAACCCTATGGAGCACAGTTCTACTCTGACACACATGGGGTCACCATCAGTCAGAATCAACCACATAGCAACTGGCTGGTTAAGTTTTAAGTCAAAGGAATAATTCAAGAAAATAAGTCAGAACCCAACCAGATATTTAGAATGAACTAAACATAGCAGATGTTCCTCAAGGTAAAAATATATAGATGATTCATTACATAATCAGTTTGCAGACAATACTAAAAAGATTGCTCCTGAAACTTATAGCTTGACACCTTGTTATTAAATGTGTGATTCTTGGACTAGCAACCTAGAGATCCACTGAAAGCTTGCTAGAAATGCAAACCCCGATTCAGACCTCCTGAAGCTGAATCTGCACTTTAACAAGATCCCCAGGTAATCCGTCTGGACAAACACTGGCTTCTGCACACTTGTAGTGCACCACTGCCACGGAGCCATGCTATGCACCAGAGCATGTGAACATCAACTTTCATATCAAGTTGAATCCAGGTACTGGAGCCAAGGATACATGTGGATGGTAACTGACTGCAGTTTAACAAAGGTATATAGTACAGTGACTAAGGAAGACTGAAGAAGAATTGATGCCTTTGAATTAAGGTGTCGGTGAAGAATACTGAATATACCATGGACTTCCAGAAGAATGAACAAGTCAGTCTTGGAAGAAGTAC